GGTCGGTGGCGGTGCGCGGTGAGGGGGGCGGCGGGCGAGCGCGGTGCGGAGACACGCGGTTGGGAGCGAAAAAGCGCCATTTGGTTGGGAGCAGATGGCTGGCTGGGGGGCTGATCGCGTCTAAAGGCGTGTCATCCCCCTTCAGCGAGAATCCCTAAGGGCTCCCCTTGTCTTCGAAATCAATGAAAATTAAAGTGCAGAGAATGGATGAATAGTTAGACCTCGAGTCCCTCCTTTGTTCGCCTCAGCTACTGGTGGGCAGGAGTTAAACTACAACAGCCTCCTATAGAAACACTTAAGTTAAACAGTCTCCCCGTTAGCCCAGCATCTGAAAGAGAGAGGGAGAGGGGGGAAAAAAGCAGAAAAAGGAGCTTTCTGCTTGATTTCCCCAATACAGAATCGCGTGGCATAAATTAAGCCGGAGAAGAATGAGCGCCGTGGGCAGGATCCTGCCGGCTCTCACGGCGCCTTTCAGTCACGCTCAGCAGCGGTAATCGAGAAATCTGTGCCACGTCAATTTAACAAATACCCGGTACCGAAGGGGGGTTGTTAAGGATTTGGGGGCAAGTTTTTTCGGGTCTTTTTTTTTTTTTTTCCCCTATCGCTAGGTTAAAGCCCTCGCGCGTGTAACTTTTTATTTCCAGTATTTTAAGCAAGGGGATGCTAATGGACCAACTTTCTATCTCTCGCGGATTAAAAGATCCGCGCTGATATATCACTTCTCGCCTCCACCGAACGAGCTCCCCCCCCAAATTTCAAGACAGATATTCCCCCCCCGCCCCCTCCCCGCCCCACTCGCTTAGTAAACCCGATACGAAGTGATATCCCCCCCCCCCGCCTTTCCCCGGGGATAACGCCACAGCAAAGTTTACGAAGCAGCGGCAAGCCACTTGAAAAGATGTTGACGCTAGGTGGCAAAAGTAATGTACAGTTTAAAGCCGGCGTTGCTGCGGGGCTCGTCCCGTCCCGTCCCCCCCCCGCCCCGCTCCCCGCCGCAGAGGCTGGGCACGGCGGGGGCGGGCGGCCCATTCCGCTCCCCCCCCGGCCGCCTTCCCTGCACCCTCGCACGGTGCCTGCGGGATCTCTGCCTAGATATAACCTCGTGGTGGGAAAAAAAACCCACCCCAAACAATCAAAAAAACCCCCCACCCAACCCCAAACATCAAACATTCCTGTACATTTAAGCTTTCGCTTAGGCGTCGAGGGGCGGGGAGAGGGGGGAAGAAGAGTTACCTGGATGTTGGTGGCTCGTTCGAGCAAAATTAGATGTAAAGGACACCCGCGTTGAGAGGCGAAACGTTGCAAAGTCTGGATGCGTGTTTAAGTCCCGAGGGTACCTGCCGGCGTTTGGGGTAGGTGCCACAAACCCCCAGTAAATGAACGTGGGCAGCTACAGTCCTCGAACAGTCAAGAAGAGCTGGGCTGAATGAACTCATTGGTGATTTTCTTTTAATTGGTACTACCCAATGCTTTTACTTTAAGAAGTCTTTAAGATTTTTTTTTTCTAGCGCATTGTAAGATAATTTGTGATCAAGACATCTGCTTCAATGAAAGTCACATTTTGCCATGCAAATGCACGTTTCAACCCAATAAAGTCGCCATAATAAGGCTTTTAGCACGGCATACCTACAGTGAGGTTATTGTAGCCAAATCCTCTCCTTTCGCACACAAGCTTAATCTGTGCTGAAATGATCTGTTACAATTAAAATGACATTTACAGAGACAGTTACACCTTGCATCCTAATGAATCCGCCTGCGCCTACCGAAGGTGTTTAAACAGAGGGCCCGAACAAAGTGGAAAACCCTGCTTCGAGTGACATGCCAGCGTCGCCCTCCAACTTTTATCCCCCGCTTCCATCCATCATTAAGAAACTGCTCAAACGGTAATCATGTCTATCCCCTCTTTCACCGCACCAGTAAACTCCTTCCCATGTTTTTAAGATCAAAACAAAAGTTCCAGCGACTGATGGATATGTACAAAAATAATAAGGTGACGGTCGGTGTAAAGTTGGGTTGTGGTGGTGTGGGTTTTTTTTGTTTTTTTTTTTTTTACGGATGGGGGGAAGTGCTGGAAGGGATTTCTTTAAAAAATGTGCGGACATTGTTGTAGAGGCAGTAGCGTGCGCCGAGGGGAGCTCTTTCTCTCCCCCGCATTGTGCAGGGAGCAGGTGCTGTCTACATTACCATACAGCTGAGAGCACAAAGAGCTAACTGATTCAGCCCTCACACAATAACAAACGGCCTTAATGACAGCCACGCGAACGACACACACCAAACTCACTTTTTACTAAGCTGAAGGAGGAAAAAAAAAGCGAGGGAGAGAGGGAGAGGTTGCTGGGGATGATGATAATAATCATAGAGGGGTGCGGGACCCGGGCGGAGCGGGTGGCTCTCTCCGGCAGCGGTGGTGGCGGGGACGGGACCCGCGGAGCCCCGCAGACGGGTCCCCTCCGTGGGTCCCTCCCGTGGGTCCCCTCCGCC